TACGACTATGTAACAACAAATCCCACCATTATGTACAACTTCACTGTGCCAATAAAAAGATGCTCTTCTCAAAAAAATAATAATAACACCTACTTTATAGAGTGACTAAGTAAATGAAGTGAAGAAAGTATGTAAAAACTCTAGTAAATGTTCATTAAATGTGAGCTTATATTATTTTGATGATAAACTACTTTCAAAGACTGGAACATGAATAATTTATATATATAAATCCATATTTCATGTCAATGCTGTACTTGGTCATCCCCTCTTTTCTACCTATGCTAAATTATAGGGTAATCTCAACAAGTACCATGGCTTTAAATACCAAATACCCAAAGTTTCTATCTAAATTCCAGATTTAGATATCCAAATGTCTTCCCTACATCTTCGATTAATGTTTGGTAAGCATCTCAAACTCAACATATCCAAAATGAAACACCTGATTTCTATTCACTATTGCCCTGCCCCACCAGCTCTTGCTCAGTCTATCTACTTTATTCAATAGCACCACCATTTGGAAGTGCTGCCAAAATCTAAGAGTCTTCCTTGCTTTTCTGCACATTAATCTATTTTCAAATTTCATCAGTTCTACCTATAAAATACATCCTAAATCCAAACACTTCTCAATGACTAACACACCTAGACTTCTTCTATAGTTTCCCAAGGGTCTCTTTATTTTCAACTCCTTACTGGTCATGTATGAGCAGCACTATTAGGTATTAGGGTTACTCCTCTGCTTAAAACCCTCTTCTAGCATCTTATCATGTTTAAGATTAAGTACAAACCCCTTACCATGGCCTGAAATTCCATACAGAATCTGGATACCACCTACCTCTCCTACTAACCTACCTATCCACCTCTCTTAATTTGTGAGTTTCCCTAGGCTTACTCTTTAAGTACTTCTTCAGCCATAATTATTTCAGCTCCTTGGACATGCAAGGTCTTATTCCCACCTCAGGGCCTTTGCATTTCTCTGTTCTCTAACTATGACCTTCTCCTGATCTATGTTCTCCCTTCTTCTCATCATGCAGAATCAGCCTAAGAAGAAGCCTTACCTGCCTATTCTGTCTGAAGGCTCTGATACTGACACACATATACTCTCTATCATACATACACAAAAACACACATCATCATCATCATTGTATTCTATGTCTTCACAGCATTTAGCTATCTAAAATCAATTTGTTTGTTTATTATCTATTTCCCTTCACCCGAACATTATAAACTACATATGAGCAAGAAAGTTTTCTTACTGAATATGATATCCCATACAGTGCCCAACACTTAACTATTTTCTAAAGAAATTAAATATAGGGCTGGGGCTGTAGCTCAGCAGCAGAGTGCTTGCCTAGCATGCATAAGGTACTGGGTTCAATCCTCAGCACCACATAAAAATAAAGGCATTCTGTCCATCTACAACTACAAAAATATTTTTTAAAAAAAGAAATAAAATATACAAGAATACAAAGACACAAAAAAGAAAATTAAGAGGAGAAATTCATCCTCTACCTTCATAACCAATAAGCATTTCATGGGCTTTTGATCCCATTAACTACACAAGGATACCTGGCTACATTGGTATGGACCACTAAAACTGCTATCTGGCACTGCTACACATAACAATGGAACCTAGAAACCCCTACTACCCATTCCAAGAAACAATAAAGTTACCAGAAGACACAATAAAGTGGTCACAGATGCCAATTTTAAAAAAAAGAAAAGAAAAGCCAACCCCCACTACAACTCTAAGATCTTGGATTTATATGTTGTTGAGAAAGGGATGGAAAGGTTCCAGTTTCACAGTCCCCAGTAAGAACTAGTTACTAATATGACGTTTCTCTTCAGATTTGGATTCCTCTATTCATCCCAAGTCAAAAAAAGTTAAGAACAGCCAAGGGGGCTTGGGTCTCCTCTATGTTTAGGAGGAAAAAAAAAAATATGGACAAGGCAAAATAACTCAGGCAAAACTATAAAATAGGTACAATCTGTCTTCAGTGTTCTATAAATAGTCTGCCCTTGGCATCTCAAATCTGCTTAATCTGGACACTCTCCAAGACGGTTCTACTTCCACTTTTCACCCACTTGTCCAACCTCCTTCCCCACAGATATCACATTGTCTTGGATATCATGCCTTAATTTTCTGCTTTCCACCGTGAAAGTGAAACAATCTGATATACTGTGATAATGTATTTAAATGAGAATGCCAGAGGACCTTTCCCTTCCCAGGTAATATATATTCTGAAATGAACCTCTAAAAATTAGATAGATTCTAATTTAGCAAATACCAAAAGGGGAGAAACCCTGGAACACTTATGAGAGACATTTCAGAAGAACCAGGTTCTTCTGGTGTCCTTCAAATAATACCAAGCACATTTCTATACTCTATATACTGAGCTTGAAGGACAGTCAACCTCATTTACAAGAGAAAATTTAAATGACATTGACCTACAATTTTTATTTGCCAGATTAACAACAGCAACAGCAATAAAAATCTAAAAGTCTAAGACACTCTGAAAGAACTTTTGAATTTATATAACCTTTTTTTAGATGCTGATGGACCTTTTATTCATTTATTTAGATGCAGTGTTGAGAATCGAACCCAGTGCCTCATACATGCTAGGCAAACGCTCTACCACTGAGCACAACCCCAGTCCCAAGTTCATAAAACTTTTGATGCGAAAGTAAAATGATACAATCCATGAGGTGAGGAACTTTGCAATTTCTAATACAATTATATAGTAATTCCCCTTGAACCTAGCAATCTTATTTTTCAGAATCTAACTAAAAACAGACCTCCACTATTATTTATGAACAAAGGTATTCACTGTGGCATTATTTTAATAGTAAAAATTTGAAAACATGGCAATTTCAATTAATGGAAAATTAAGTGAATGATGGTATGTGATATATGATATGTTCACATATTAGAGAAGAATGCAGAGAAAAAAAATAAGATCTCATCCTTTTGGTATGAATTTAATTCTAGGATACAGGCTTTAAAATAATCCAGATACAAAATAATAATACATAAATGCCACCTTTTGTAGAAAGGAAAAGAACTAAGAATATATTACTAGGAAACAGTGGTCTATGCAAAAGAAAATAAGAGACTCAGGCTGTAATGACAGCAGCAGAATGGGAAAAAAAAGAGGATGGATTCAAAATACATTTTGCAGGTAGAACTGACAAAATTTGCTAATAAATGTAGGAAATAAAAGAATGAGAGAAACATAGGAAGATTCTTAAGTTAGAACGTAAACAACTGAGTAGGCAGTGCTATTAATTACCCGAGATGAGGAAGCCTGAAGAAGGTAGAGGTTCATGAAAATCAAGACTTGCATTTTAGACATGTTAAGTTGTTATTCTAACAGACATCCAGTAAGAAATTTCAAGTAAGTAGTTTGATAAAAGAAGAAGAGTTCAAAGACCGTCCACAGCTGGATTTATAAATTCACAGAGCATTCAAAACAGTAAAACTAGATAAAATCAAAAGAGGGAAAAGATGGAAAAATGAAATAAGTCGAGGACCAAATCCTGGTGTGTTCCATAGTTACAGGTCTAACAGAGGGAGAAGCCAGCAAAGGAGACAGAGAAGAAATAGCCAAACATGTTTTTAAAAAATGAGGGTAATATCAGAAATATCAATAAAATAATTAAAATAATTCTACTTTATATAACTTTCATATTCTGTAATTTATAAAAGTCCAGCTTAAAATACAAAAGTTTTAGCCCTCAGTCTTAATTCTAGAAATATTTAAATACTTATACAACATCCAATACATTAAATTCCAAGGAAATACATATAAACAGAGATTCAGACACTTTTTCATGACCTGGCTACAATATGAATAATTTTTTCTAAAATTTTGATCACAGAATTAAAATTCTACAGAAAAATGGAAGGACGTCAAGAGTAAAATGATATAGAAAGATGTGGACAACATACAGAGATGTGGGCAAAGCATATTCTGACAACTACCTGGCCAGGAATGGAGACAGCAATAAAGAATAGCAAAAGTGAATAATGAAATAATTACTTTTATATTCTATGTTCTCCACTGTAGCTTTCTGCTTCCACTGTAGTCATGAGAAACCCTCTTTATATTTTAGTTTCCTTCCTCCTAGTGGTCTCTATTCTTTCTCGATTCTCTCTTCACCTCACTGTAGCTTTAACAGCTTTTGATAACAATCTGTATAGCAGCTTCTTTTGCTGTCCCATCAAATAAAAAGTCTTATTTAGTGGGATGAGGCAATAACTAAAAAAATATTTAAACACTTATAGTAATTCCAGATTAAAACATTAGAATATAAGACTAAAAATGTTTACACAAGGGAAAAAAAAAAAACAATGTACCAATTTGTCCTCCTTCCTCCATTTTAGGTAAGAAATACAAATCCACATAAGAACTGACTTTCATTTCCTCCTTGGAGATACCAGAGGAAAGGTACAGATAAGCTACATGCTAATAAAGGAAGATTRTTTTTAAATAAAAAGGAATTGCAGACAGTGATACATAGATAAATTACATGACCATGTCAATAATAGCCGCATCAATTCACCTAAGAAAGACTAAACATTTTTTTCAACTCTAAAAAAGCTAAGATTTTTCAGAGCTGTCAAAGACTTGCTGAGAATAAACTGACATTTCCCTGACATGCCAATCACATTCAAGTATCACTAACACTGACACTGCTCCAAACCTCTTGCAGGTAAAATAGTAGGATGAGGTTAGATGCTAGCTGACCAGACTCAAGAAAATCAGGTGAATTTTCAAGAGATGCAAGAAAAAGAAAGCACTCCAAGTTTTAAAAGAGATAAGAGTAGTAAATTTATAAGAATTTATTTCCCTGGCCTCCCCAAGTCTATCTATTCCTTTTTCATACCATTTCACAGATTTGTGATTACTTCTACAGAATTGTGGGGACACCCAATGTTCTCCTGATTCTTTCAAATCTGGAGAACACCTGATTCCTCGAATTCCACCTAATAACTGAATTACCTTTCCTGGGGCCACCTTGTTGAACCACCCAGTTGTCTAAGGAAGCATAGACAGTTGTTCGTGTCATAGGATGTTGTGGTCTTTGATATATTCCCGATTTGAATTTCAACCAACTCCTCACATCTCTCTGATGGGGCACAGTAATAGAACAGAAGTCAATGGGAGATCAGCATGCACTCAGATTCCAGATTCTGAAAGGGAACAAAAATCAAACCCTCCATTCTTTGCCTCTTCACCATGTCTAAAAATCAATATGCTAGAAACCAGGCTTTATCAGTCCATCAAAACTAAATATAAAGCAGCAACTCTCAAGAGCCACATAATAATCAACATGTACTTTATGTACAATTAAGTCTATAATACAAATAACAAACATTAATGTTTATTAAATGTTATGTCTAATAAATCCAAATAAATTGTCTGCCATCTCACAAAAATCTATTGTACACTGTGTTTATTTAGCATTTAAATATCTTTACTGAGCATTGACTTACCTTTTCTAATACAAATAAGTTCATGTACTCCACAGGTTCTCTCTCCACCTATTTAAAAAAAAAATTATGAGGCATTAAAAACATAGAAAATAGCCTGAGCTTGAATGTTACCAAAAACCACTTTAAATTAGCACCTAGAAATTATCTTGGAAAAAAGTTCCCTAATTCTTCTCTTTAAACTTAACTAAATAAATGTGATAACCTGGTTCTCAGAATTTTTCTAAACAACCCAAAAATTAAGGCTTTATGAAGTTTTGCAATGAAGACACTTCATTCAAGCATGATATTTTGAACAACAAGCCTCTCAAGAGCAGAAATCATATCACCACTTCCCAAACCCTCTTCATATCACTATGCACCCAAGTTACCATAAAACAAGGCAAGAAAAAACTTGGCCAGCATTCCAGGAGTCTCTTTATGTACCTCCATAGGTACAACCCTATTCCCCAGAAGTAACCACACTCCTGAGTACTAACAATACATCTTACTTAGTTTTATCTGTTTATAAAATTTATATAAATGGAATCATTTAGCTGTCATTTTTGAGTCTTGCTTCTATCAATATTTGTAACATTAATCCATTTTATTACTTGTGGTTGTGATTCATTCCCTTTCATCACTGTGTAAAATTCCACTGTATATATACATATATATGTACACACATCTGAGTATATTTATACATACATGAACTTCAATGCATACACATTTGGATTAACTTGAGATTGGGTTGGTTATAAACAATTTTGCTATCAACCTTTTTTATTCTAATTGCTATAAACCTTTTTAACTTGTGTTAAAAACAAGTTATTATATTATTGAAAATTGCTAAGGGAGTAGGGGCTGGAGTTGTGGCTCAGTGGTAGAGCATTCACATAGCACGTGTGAGGCCCTGGGTTCAACCCACAGCATCACATATAAATAAAATAAAGGTATTGTGTCCAACTACAACTAAAAAATAAATATTTAAAAGAAAGAAAGAAAATTGCTAAGGGAGTACATTCCAAATGTTCTCATCACAAAAAATAATGAGTAGGTGATATGACAGATAAGTTAATTGGCTCAATTAAATTATTCATGTAATTTATTCATGTAATACATGTATTAAAACATCACATTATACCCATAAATATGTACTGATTATTCTAATTTAAAAGTAATTTTATTAGTTACTTTATAAATATATATTTCCTTCACATAAAAACATAATGCCACCAATTTAATGTAGGCTCAATAAAATTTTGTATTGTTCTGTATATGTATGGCTGAATCATTACACTGTGAATTACTTTTAAACTTTATATAATCAAAGCAAAATAACTGAATTCTTTAATTCATTTTAAAAGCTTATTATGAAAGTTCAGTTATAAGAAATAGGAATATCTTACAGCAATGATACGAGAAATAAAATACTATTGTATCCACTAACGAAAAAAGTAGGTCATCTGAGAAGCAAGCTAATAAGCTAGAAAACAGTATTTCTATCACTAAAGTAGGTTAGACTTACAGTCTAACTTGGTTGCAACAATGCCATTGTTTCCTTCTTATCAGCAATATAGACTAATCACTATCAGAAACACTCACAGCAAGAAAAAGTACATAATGTTAAGCCATGTTATAAAAGAATTATTATTCAGCAAATTCCCAGGGTAAAATACAGTATTAACTGGAATATTACCAATGAGCAAACACAGATCATTTGCTGAACGGCTAGAATGAAATACAACTATAAAAACATATCTTTAAATTGAGGAGACACCAATCAATTAAGTCCATACTTACCAAATTATAACATATTTTCAAGACATTAGAAGAATCAAGTAATAACAATAATGCAATAAAGACTGAGGCCAATGATGTTTTCTTAGGTTACTTAGAAATATTTCTTCTATGTGATCATTAATGTATATTCTCTAGAAGCTAACATTGGTAACTTAGTTTGAGTTATGTATTTTATCCATGTAACCAGGCTGCATTTTTTTTTTTTTTTAGGGGCAATCAACCACTGAGCCACATTCCCAGCCCTGTTTTGTATTTTACTTAGAGACAGAGTCTTGCTAAGTTGCTTAGCACCTTGCTTTTGCTGAGGCTGGCTTTGAACTCATGATCCTCCTGCCTCGGACTCCCGAACCACTAAGATTACAGGCATGCAACACCAGACTCAGCCAGGCTGTAATTTTTAACATGTGTAATTAAAACTAGGTTCTCCCACATATTTAATATAAATTGGTTAGGTTTTACAATCAATCTTAAATATAACAGCACAGTTTTTACAAAGCTTATTATTAACAAATGAAAGCTGACTTCCTTTTATAAGTATTCAACTTATCTATATTTAAAAACCTCACAAATTCAAAAAAGCTAGTCAAATAATTACTATATTTGCCCAAGTACTCATGAGAATCACACAACCAATATAACAAGAAACGGAACTCAAAAATAAAGTTGTCTAACTTGTTATTTTAAAGTATAAAATGACTAACCCAGACACTAAAGGTAACTAATTATCAATAAAAATTTTCAAACATTATGTTTAATATAATCAAGAAATAAAAACTGATTTTTCTTCATTTTTATGAAAAAATAAAAATTATGAATTGTTTCCTAATCTTCTAAGGTAATTTAAATAGAAGTGAATTTTGCAAAAACTTTTTACAGGTCATATTAACATTGCTTTTGAAATAACCATCTAAGCAACATAAAAATGAGCAATAGAAAATGATAAGCTTTGTCAGTTACCATCTTTTCCCTCAGGCAAACCCATGTAGGAGCATAATGTAACCTGGCATAGTCCCCTTATAATTGGGGGGAAATAAGAAGAAACAGATGTGCATGGATGTGCACAAATACATATTTTTTCCACATTTACAAAGGAGAATGTGTAGAAATGTTATAATCCCCATAAAAATAGATCCAGGAGACCCTGTCTCTAAATAAAAATATTAAAAAGGGGTGGGGATGTGTGGCTCAGTGATTAAGCACCTCAGGTTCAATCCCTGGTACCTTCCCCGCAAAAAAATAGATACGGGTATACAAAACTGGAATTAAACCCACAATTTAGTTACTTTAAGAGTCCTTTTCAAAATTCACTGTATTTTATCTAACTTGTTCTGACCATTATCCTAAAACACCAAAATTTACAGGTCTACTTATTTCTGCCTTATCAAACACAGGAAACCTACTGTAGAACTATCTTAAAATTTCATCTCACTTAAAGATTCTTCTTCAAAGCATATCTATTAAAATAGACACAATCTGTAAGTTAGCCTTCACTCATACATTGTTATAGTTAATTGGTATGCAAAAACATATATATAATGAAGATGAAATTTTAAATATTTTCTATTAATGCTGCCAACTACCCTCAAACAATTTAACCACTGATCTCTAGACACATTTTAGTTTTGTCCCTAATTAGCTGTTCATTCAAATATACCAGTTCTGATCTATAATTTAAAATACAGTGTTGTGGAAAGATCATAGATCCTGAATTTATCCAGACTTAACTCTGAAGTCAGCATCATCCAGCACCATTTTTGTAACATCTTATGCTTGTTACTTAATCTGTAGGGTAAGAAAAAAATAACTAAAAGCCAGGTATTGTGTCATACACCTATAATACCAGCAACCTGGGAAGCTAATGCAGGAGGATCACAAGTTCAAGGACAGTCTCTGCAACTCAGCAAAATTGTCTCAAAATGAGAAGCCCTGAGTTCAATCCCTAGTACCACAAAATAAAACAGTCATTTGTGAAGTGGTAATAAAAATAACCGCAGGACAGAAAACAGTTTTCATCTTGCATACTGATTTTCATGGGTTAGTAGTAGCTGCTGGAGTGAGAGCAAAGGGCAGTGTTGCCCAAGATTCTGAAACAAGTCCACAACAGATAGGAAAAAAAGAGTCCTTCATAAAGCAGATGACTACTACAGTTGAGAGAAGGTAAAGTGGTGCTAACCACACTGAGAGAATAGCTAAGTGATGACTGGCCCATGATGGACACTGAAAAAGGTTTATTCCCTTAGCATTCCCCACAAGAAAAATATAAAATTCAAAGAAAACTGAAGGGTTCAAGCTCAGGAATCAGGGAAGACTTCAGTATAATGTTTTCTTCTCTTTTAAGGCATGAATTATCACTAAATATCAATACTCTTCTGTATAAATATTCAAAAATAAATGTTAACCTTCTCATACTTAACTTGTTCTCTTTCTTAAAATTTTCTTTAAAAAATAATCAAAATCTTCAGGCCTCTAATCCTCTGGGACTTTATCTCCCAAAATGGAATCACTGTTTTTTTGTTGATACTATGCAATTACTGTAGAATTAAAAGTCTGAATGAATCAAATTATTTCTATACTTTTACAAACTCATATTGTCTACAGTGTTTATATTCAATTGTAGCCCAAATTTTAAGGAACATACTCACCTCCACAACAGCATCACCTATAAGCAAATAAAACTCTATTCATGACAATGTCTTATTTAGAGTACTTCACAATTTACAAAGCATGCTCGATACAGTATCTTATTTGATCCACATAAGCTCCTGTGCATTTATTCAATATTTTTTCCTAAGAAATATAAATTTCATAAAATTAAATTCACTAATCAAAAATTAATCCATTTTCCAATCATTGTGTCACTTTTTATTTAGTTTGTTAATTAGATTTTTGACTATTAGATGCTCATTAACATAACACAATAAATCCCTGTCAGGTTTTTGACAATTAGAAGCTCATTAACATAACACAATAAATCCCTGAATAAATATGTGTGCACATACACACACTCTACTAAATTAAATTTTTCGAGTTAAATAAGAATAAAACAAAACCTTTTTGTTTTGACTACTACATCAGATTAATTTTTTTTAAACTACAAATATGCATTACTAAATTTATAAACTCAGAATACTTAAGATAATATTTCATTATGTCACCTCATGATGACTCAAAATTACTACTCTGAATATCTATAAGAATATAGTCCTAAAAATGTAGAAAACAATAAATTGCTGTGTGTGTATGTGTGTATATATGTATATATATATATA